ATCACGATGGAATCCAAGGAGACAGGTAAAATGTTGATGACAGGGTTTGATTTTTTAAATTTTCTTTTCGGAATACTGATGGTTATCCAAAAACAAGTCTTGCTTTTAGAGAAGAAAATGAAAAGCGATACAAAATGAGAGGAGGTGTCATGATGCTAACTGATTTGATCCTGCATTTGATCAAAGCGTGAGTACGAAAGCTTTGTTCACCTCCAACAAATAATAAAAGAAAGGTCGAATTCTTAACAGCACAATTAGTTGTAGAAGTGTAATCATATAGTTGAGTAAAAATATCACCAATAATGGCTAGGTTAAATGGTGATCAAGGAAACAGTCAAAAGATCAGATTGATGTTAAAAAACTCAAATTTTATTTTTTTTTGAGCATAGTGTTTATATATGTTAAAAACTGGTAGCGCTTTTGAAAAGAAAGTTCTAGCTACAACCAATATGACATAAACTACAAGATATTGGGAAAAATTTACCAGATTGTATTATCAATTTAAACAGTCATTGATTTGCATAAATTTATAATGGAAAAAGCAAAAATTTGATTGTTCAAAGTATAACCCCGAAGTATCAAGTTTTGAGTTGGTATTTATTGCCTGTCCTTCCCGACTGATTTTTCTCTAATTTGATTAGTTGCTTTGCTTGAAAGTTGCAATCAAATTTTCAACTGCTTTTTTTGATAGTCACTCTGTTTTGGTCGTATATATTCTAACACAAACAACGTTTTTCACTCTGTTTTTAGGTTCACTTTAATGATATTTTTTAAAACTTAATTTTGCACGATAAAGTTCATAATACGTACTAAACATTTTCTAGAAGCTTCGAAAACTCTTTCCTTCTTTGATGATAACTTTTTTTTAGAAATGGCTGCAGCAAAATTATTGGGCACTTTTGGCTTTTATCCGTATTCTCGCTTTTCAAAATTTTTAGGAATTTCTCTTTTTAGTTTTTTTAGTTTTTTTCAATTTTTTCTAAAAAATCAAAATTTTTGTCATAGACTTTAGACGTTTTATCAGTCTCCTGTATACACCGAAAATGGAAATGTTGAAATTTTCAAGCAACATTCATTTTTCCGTGCTTTTTATCTTTATTTAGCTCAAAGTCGTTTTTCATTGACCTTCAACTTTTGCCGATTAAGGGTTGGTGGCCGCTGCACTTGACGAATTTTCTTGTTTTGACGATTCAAATACCTTACAATCATACTTAACTCTCCTTTTAATATTTTTCACAAACTTTTAATATTTTTCAAAAACGGAACTCTCCTTTTAATATTTTTCACAAACTAAGTTCATCCGCCTCATTTTGAAGCTTGTCGGTTGCCCTGGTTGGTTATTTTTTCGAGAGGTTCTCTCATTTTCAGGTTTGGTATCATTTGATGGAATGTTGAATACTGGTCTTCTTGAACTGTTGAAATCCCTACCTAAGCAATTCCGAAAAAAACTATACGCAGGCAGAACCAGAGAAAGAGATTGCGTACCATTTTATAATCAGTCGTTGGATACAAAATATAAGGCAACAAGGCAGAGGCGGATATAGGATTTTCTCGAGGGGGTGGGTTTTCAAATTTCGATTTTGTCGAAAATTTCGACAATGGATATCTCAAAATAGTACAAAGGGGGACCCTTTGGGTCGGCAGGGGGCAAATCCCTGAAAAAGGAGCGCCCCTGCCCACTAAATTTCCTAAATCCGCTGGTGCAACAAGGATTTTTGTTTGCTGTGCAATAACACAGAATGCTCCGACCCCATTCATTAAAAGCTTTTTATAATATTCTTTTTGTCCCCTTCAAATTAGGGTTAATTCTATTAGTGTTGTGGCTCAAGAACCACACTAACAAGTAGAAAAAATCTTAATACAAAAACAACCCATCTATCTAAAACATTTTTAAAATTTTTTGCACAAGAATTTTTGCTTTTTTTTTTCATTTTTCTCGAAAAATTTGATTGCCTAGGAAGCGACTTTTTTTGCACAAGAATTTTTACTTTTCTTTTTTTTTCTAAAAAAAATTTGATTGCCTAGGAAGCGCTAAAACAAGCTTACTTTATTTTTCATTAAATCAAATTTTCCTAGCTTGATCGCACCACTCGCTTGTAGTCAGACAAAAGATTTCAGACCGGTTTTTCTCGACACTGAAACTTTTTCAAAACTTACAAATTTTGAGCAAATTATGATTAAAAGTGCTTTAATACGATATATGACTCAATTTAATCCAATAAATGTTTGTGGTATACAATGTTGTGGGCGGTGTAGAATTTTTGTGGTATAAATTTTGGGTGGTATACGAAAACAAAAAAAATAAAACGCACCCAAAACAAAAAGTTCCTCTCCATTTCCAACGGTCGGAACAGAAATTGCCGATGGATCATTAAAACAAAAAATGATAAATACGCTCACATGGAGCGAATAAAATGCTCTGTTTTGCATTAGCGATAATGCGTGAATATGTAGGTTTTTCTTGTGCTTTGTGACCCGTTCAGTGTTTCGATTATGTTTTCAGCTTTCGATTTTCAGTATTTGTTACAAACCATTTGTTTTTTTTTATAAGTAACACTCTACAATGTTTGTTCTAAATTTGACGATTTTATAGTCAGAACCCTTTGAGAATATACAGAACGAGGTTGAATTACTAACTTGATTGTTTTCCAGCTTTTCTATGGCATCTATCAAGACTCAGAAATAAGAGTTCGATTAGGATCAGCTTTGTTTGGACAATTCTTTTTTTTCGGAAGCTTTGGGATGATTTTCATCTTATTATGTGTCGTTTTTATTTCTGTCAGTGTACCAGCTAATTGTTTTTTCTAATAGCTTCTGGTCATTAGTTTGAAAGCAATTCACTTTCGAAAATCTTAAAGACCTCGAAAAATTTTGTTCGGCACTCTTTAAAAATCACTAACTTTTTTTTTCTGAAATTTTGTTTTTTATTCTTTTAGCAGAAGTACCGTTGCTCAAAAGTTTCCTCGTCACATTCCAACTGGAATTACAGAATTATGTATTGCTCACATCTTTCGCGGAGAAGATATTCAAAATGATGAGTTTAAGCGCAATATTCTTGGTGTAGTTTTTCGATCAGCATTTGCGTCAACTGATTTTTTTCTACAGATTTTGTTGAAATGATAATCATAATTAAACAAATTTTAAAACAATGCCAACAGGTGGTCAAGCACGTCTGCGATTGTAAGATCGATCGGTGATATACTTCAATAGCGTAGCGGCAACCCGTAGTGCTGACTAAAATCTTCCAAGCAAAACGAGTAAAACTTGAAAAGTAAAACACTTTTTTCTCAAATTGGGTGGATTTCAGCCAAAATATGACGCAGATAAAACTTGCCTGGAATTTCAGATACTTTAACTTAATTTTCATAAAAATTGAACTTATTTTGCAAAATTCTGGCTCTTAATTTGGCCAAAAAAACTATTATTTTTGGCTTTTATTTTTGAATAAAAAGTTACGCCAAAGTGTTTGTTCAATTACTGAAAAAACAAACAGCACGTTTCTTATGTATCCCAACAAATTTCAAGATGAGCGTAATCTCCAAAAGTGGGCACAAAAAGATTTTATTCGTTTTTATTTATATAATTGGTGTTTTATGTATTAAAAATGATCTTTTTGTGGCTATCAAAGCAAATTAAGTTTAATTATACAAAAATGAGAAGAAGATACTTTCACATTGTTGAGCTACATAACAGGCTTGCTGTGAAAAACTTTTGTCAGCAATTGCAAAAAAGGTTCAGCGTAGTTTATGATTGAATAAAAAAACACAAAATCATTGTCCTTAGGGTAAATTGTTAGGCCCCAAGTTCGCAAAATAAATCTCACCACTATAATAATTTCATCACAAAATAAACTTTTTTGTTACCATTTTAAGCAAGTTGTGTCTTCATGTTTTGTATGAAATCAAACCAATCTGAAAAAAAAAACGTTTTGATTTTCGAGTTTAACTTGTTGTGTTTGGGTAGTTTAAACACAGAGGCGAAGCTGTGCTTCGCGAACACAAGCAAGAAAAATGCAAAACAGAGCTCTAAAATGGACTTCTTTAAGGCCATAATTTATTCTACCGCGTTTAGGGAATAACTACTGAAAAAGAAGAGATCCTCAAGGTTTCTTATTTTGATTGAAACTATCATCTCAGGTTTGTGCATTCAATATTTAAGAAAATAAAAAATCAAACCAAAAAAAACTGCTAAAAATTTTGAAGACCGTAGAACATGAGGTAAAATGAAAAGAAAATAGCGAAGTCTGTACTGTACGCAAATAGAAGAGCAGCCAGAAATTTTCCAAAGCCGCGCAAAAAAGCGAAAAAAAAACAATAACAATTCCCATACATTTTCATGTTACACGTTTTTTTTTCAAATATGACCTAACAGAAGCCAACACTAAAGCAGCAACATATGCCATCAAATTGATTATGCTTAAATAAACTTAAATAAAATTAAATTGAAATATCGAAAGTGCCACCAGATGAGCACTATTATTTGCGACTAAGTTTAAAAAATTTTCTTCGTAACAATACACTGTGCTTTGCTTGTGTAAATCAGCAATGTAAGCTTAAGACGTCACAACGCGTGGTTTCCGTCGCACGAAGTCCTAAATTTAAGTTTTTTTTTGCTAAAGAAAACTCGAAAACTAACCTTAGTATATTTTTCGTTTATGTGTACACTTGCGGTTAAAGTTTTTTGAAATCGAGTAATATATCTTTATCTTGAAAACAGCACATATAACAGATACTTTCATGGTTGATCAATGAGATATGAATTTGATACCCGAAGTAAGACTCATGAAAGTTGAAAAATAGTTAACTACTTTATGAAGACCAGAAATGTGAAAGAACTATTCTTTAATTTTTGAATTTCAACGAAAAAAAAACTATGTTTTTTTTCAATTGCAAAACTATTTTATCTTCAAAAAGTTTCTTGATAAAATTAAGTTCGGATCATCTTACTTTTTTTCGTGTCGCAGCCTATATAAAACCAAGGATCTTTTTAACTATTGCACTTTTGGTACCTAGTAACAAATTGCCACCCCTATAATGAACTAACTAAACGATTACGCAGATGTGTTAGTAGCGAATCGCCTTTTGAAAGAGTACAAGAGAATTCCAAATCAAGATAGCGAGGGCTCACGTTTTGCGCCAATAAAATATTCAAACAGACCGTAAAATGACTGCTCCATTGCTTGTTGTAAGGCAATTGTAGCCCAACCATCAATTCAAAATGATTTTATTGAGCATCAAAAATCTTAACTGTTAGCATCAAAAACCTTAACTTAATTAAGAAAAAGAACCGTTACGAGACGTTAGTTGTTTTTTGGAAAATATTCAGAGCTCTTCGTTATCCAGAATGTAGTAGTCTAAAGACTATCAAGGAATGTACGTACTTGCTGGGAGCGCGACTTCATATTTTTGACACAAGTCTGAGATTTTAGGATAATGATTTAATTTTTCGTAGCCTGACAACAATTGAATCATTTCAGTTTTTGTGCGCGTGTTGGTAATTTTTTTCTGTAATGCGTAACTCTAAAATTTTGTTGATGATTATCAGTAAAGTGTTTGATCAAAAGTTGAGTAGGGCTCGTTTGACATCTGAGAACTTACGACACTGTTTTCACTAGCTCATACAAATGGAGCTCCATAGCAAATACAGGTCTGTATTCCAACTTTTGACTTCAGAATGATTGGTATTTACGTGCTTTTAAAAATGCTCAAAAATGAGCTTTACCATATAAATCACTTAATTATCAGTGGATGCCTAAGCCAAAACACCATTTTATAATATAGGTGGCTCGAATTTTTTTTGAGGTGTTACAAAGTGCGTAGTCGAGAGAAACTTTGGTAACACAGAGATTAGTCCGCAAAAATTCGGGACTTTTTTTCCGAAAACATCGTGTTCATCGAAGTTTAGCAGTACATCTAAGTAAATTGCAAGATATCTTGGGGGTTTAATTTTTTTCGATTAATGTTTTTGTTTTATTTGCTAATATTAGCTTGTTTTGCTTTAACCATTTCGCTGTTTTGTTCAATGCATTTTGGTGTTCGTTATGTACGTTTTTCATCATTAAAAATAACCTAATTACAGCTTCGTCAGCGTATAGTAAAGATGTACAGAAAACAAAACACTTTTCAGTAAGAGTTTCAAAAATCCTTGCTGTATAAAAAAATATAACACTCATATAAGATATAATACATAGCCAACTGAGCTGAAAAAAATCGTTTACTGCTAGAACGTTTTATAAAAAAGAACAGAACGTTAGAGCACTTTATAGGGAAATAAAAACAAAAAACAACGCACACACTTAGATTTTTTCGTTTATCAACATTGAAGAATAACCTCATTGATCAATATTTTTTCTGCTGACACCAGTGAGAATACAAACATTTTCGAACTTCCCATCCCATTTCACAATCTGCAATGATCTTTTTTCGGGACTCAAATAGAGTCTTATAGCATCTGCACAGGTAGCAAAGAATGTTCCGGCCAAAAATGGCAGTTCTAACCACAAATGACATTGCAATCAACTAGGTAAACCGAAAAATATCGTTGCTTTCTAAAGCGTAGAAGTCTGCAGCCGATAGACCCGCAGATTGATTATCCTAAATTTTTAACGCAATTTAATGAATTTTTGTTGTTTTACAACTTGAAACAGTTGAATAAGAAAACAGAGAGAAATTATCCACTTAGCCAAATTTGAGTGAATAGCAATAAATTCACAACCATTTTTCTCGTCACCTAAAAAACTTTCAAAATTCAATATTTGGGATCCGAACCACGGCTTAAAGAGCTGCAAAATGACACCTCTTTTGAACCCCAGTCTAATCTTGCGCCAATAAACTCATCTTGCACCAAAGTTCTTGGCCACTTTACTAGTGATCCGATGAACAAACACAGTTTATGTTTAGACTTAGTTATACACTTTCTTTGAATTTTGCACTGCCTATTAAGTTTCATTGTACAACGATGATTATCTGCTGTTTTGATTTGAATGTTTATCTGTCGAACTTTTTTGGATTAGGAAAATTGGGGCGGCGAATCATCTTATTTCTATCAGTTGATGGTGATACTCGAAATTAGTTGCTCGATGATTCACTTGACATAGCGGTCCCAATAAAAACAGCCTTAGTTATCATTTTATAAAACCAATCAGAGGGTTATAACTTCTTTTAAACAATGAAAGTACTGTGAGTGAAACACACATTCACTTCTTTCTGAAATATTCAGAAATTTTTATCACGTCATTGATAATGAACAACTGCAAGTTTTCAACATTTCTTCCGTATATCTTAAATTTAAAACAATTTAAGGTGATAATAAAATTCCGAGTAGCACCAGGCCACAGTTTAACCGAATAGTCATAATTTACAGAAATCAGCAACTTTATTAAAGATTAGTCTTTATTTTCGATAGATTCATTTTTCACAAATAGAGATAATCTGGACAAACCAATTATTGCTGCCAAAACTAATTACTTGAAATGCACTGACCTAAGGCCCTGTAAAAAAGGGATTCAGTGTTTTGTTTAACTAAAAAATTTTGACCTAAAAAATTATGCAAGTGAATTAACAAGATAAATGAAACTGGTTTCCGAGATTTCTCAATGTACTTTTTTAGTAAAATCGGAATCAATGTTTACAATTATATATTTCAGTTCATTATAAGCTGGCTGACTTTGACTCAATGCCCTTTGCTTTCTTGTACACGTTCAGAAGCTGTTCCAGAAATATGAAGGTCAGCACCGTGTGAGGTCCCAGTCGCGCATAGTAAGGCGTGAATCCTTTCCAGAGAGCAAACACGCCCTCTTTTTTCACTATTCTAGAGAAGACGTCAACGAATCCTTTGTACTCTGGAACTCCGTCAACTATTTTCATTTTCTGAAGTCTAGTTTTGGCAATATCTACAGGCAGCGATGCAACTGTAGTGACCAGTGCAGAAATCATACTGGCTACGAAATGAGTCAAAATTCCCTCTTTAAAAACATCTGTTTTCTTGATCAGCATCTCTTTACATTGGGAATATGACACGAGTTGAGCTATGTTCACGACAACAGCTCGGCCGACTGTCGGCCCGCATCCACGCCATAAGGTTGTGACACCCTCCTCACGAGTCACTCGAAATATGGCATCGAAAACGTTTTTGTAGTTCCGTCTCTCGGTTTCTGGAAGACTTTTATCAGTTGTCATTCGGATTAGACACAACTCGGCCGGTGTTCCAACAAAAGCACCAATAGATCCCGCCGTTGCGGCGATTCCCATTTTCTCAGCGAATCCAGGCGGTTTGCCATTTTTTGTGAAGTGACTAAACAACGAAGTGTAGATGCCCAAACGCGTTCCCGTGTACATAACTTGTCTAAGTAACCCAGCTCCAAGTCCGTTGTAGAATGCTAGAAATCCCTCGTTGGCAAGAATATTTCTGATGGCGTGAAAAGAAGATTTGTGAGTCTTGGCTCCTCCACCTTCCCCTGACACCTGCATTCTGTTTTTGACCAGGTCCATGGGCTGAACAATTACTGTAGCCATACAACCTGATAAACTGCTAAGCATGAACTTGGTAGTCTTAGGCACTTCTTCAGGCATCTTCGATCAGCTGAACAATCTGAAAGTCAACCGTAAATTAAAACCAACGAATTGCCAAGTATATGCAACGAACTTTGAAGACCTGATTGGTTTTATGAATTTGATATGTCAATCAGCGTCACCTTGAACATACTTGAAATTTGGATATTCGACAGATTGAATAGACTAATCGTGTTTTGTTCGCAGAAATATATTTGAATGATTTTGAATTTGAATTTTATGAACTGTAGTTCGAATGTGTCATATGAATGAGCCCACTCTATCTCCTTCTCGTCTACGATTCCTATTCAATTTGATTCATGAGCTTATTCTAGTCGGAAAATTACAATTTATGTTCGTTAATAAGCATATCTGGTCGTAATATATAGCCATGTATAACGAGTGGTCATGACTTAGAAAAGATCTGTTGATGAAGGAAACGGAACAGGCCACCGATTTCACTATTTATCCTGAACAATGTCTCAAGTAGCCTCCGAGATAAAAATGACGAAAAAATAGTCTGCAGAGACCCGTATACTCTATTTTTCATTTGTGGGACACGATACGGGAATTTAAATTTTTTTAACAATTTTTTATTACATTCCCTGAAACTAATCAACCATACTTACGCATGCGACAAGCAAGCGTTATCAAAAGTAAAATGAGTTTTTATGCATCATTAGCAGACAGGGGAGCTCGCTCAGATGGCAAAAAAATTTTCAGTCTATTTTTTGCCGCCTTTTATAAAATAGCTCTTCAGTAAACGACTTTATTGTTATTAAGGCTCTAATGTGATTTTTTGAACTCCTGACTTCCTCCCAGCCAACCCGTTGGCAGGTATCTAATCAATACCAAAGGGCAATATATCAAACAAAATGAACAACTCACAACATTCACCAACGGGAAAAAATAGAATTTACATTTCACTAAACTTAACTATATACACCCATTTCCCCCTTCAAAGTAGAATGAACAAAATTTACAAACTGCACAAAACAAATTGAAATGAACAGAACGAAATTAAGTATCTACAACTTGAGGTTGGTAAGTACAAATTTGTACAAATGGGTGAAGTTTACAGAATTTACCTTATCTACACTAATAATACAGAGAGAATAAAACAATCTACACTACCAAATGTACACCTAAATGTACACATAAATAAAATAAAAGGGCAATGTAAAAAGGCAAAAAAAGCTTTAAATGGTTATGACGTTAAAGATGAAAATCAAAAATGGAGTTCATTAAGGTTCTTGAAGTTTTAATTGAATGTTGCATCAAATTCATCTAGTGTCCCACGCGTCTTGGTCAACTGTTGAAGAGATTTCGTTCATAGAGTCCTGATCTTTATCGCTACTGAATCGAGTCGTGGTTTTCCCATTGGAAGAATTCCACGAAGTTGACGTCAGGGAAACGGAATGAGCAGCCCCTTGACAGATCGGAGCGTTGTTGTTCGAAACATCCTTGAAGTAATCATCAATCAAGCCGTTCCAAGAATTGAAATTTAACGAAGACGAAGAAGAGGAGCTGATGATTTCTGTGGCGAGTCTGGAATGATTACTATTTCCAGTGGGATCTGCGTGGTTTCAAGCGACGGCATCGTGTTGCCAGAGGTCGTCTTCTTAAGGGTGTCCGTCCGGATTTCCTTCTTGGGTGGCGACATTTTCCTTTTTCCTTAGCATGTTTTCACGATCGGTACCCATGGGTGGTGGATTAGCAAGAATTTTTGGAGGGCCCGGAAGTATTTTCCATTTGATCGCTAGATCTGATTTTCGTAAAATGTGTCCATTTTCAAAAGTAACTCAGTTCCGAGGAATCAACGATTGCCTCCTACACGGGATTAAAATACGGGTCTCCATTTTTCCGATTTTTTTTTCTACAGAGATTACCTTCGGTGGTCAGTTTCACTTGTGATGGTCGTCTACGTTGGGCGGCAGGGATCGGGGTTGTCCGGTTTCCTAAGGAGGTCTTGGCCAGAGGGAGGCTCGCTTCTGAGTCTGAAGAAAGATCCATGTGTGCGTCTGCGTATCCGTCCTGTGTCCCTTCATGGAGCTACCAGTTCCTTGCCCGATGATCCGACAAGATCGATTGTCCTTAATCTGAACGATTATCAATAGAAATCAGGTTTTTCCACCTAGTATTGGCTGTGCGGTTGAAAAATTCTTTTTCGAACGGTACATCCGATGGAAGGTTGTTGGGTTATTCGTTAGTTCCAAATAATTTTTTCGATTGAAGAGTTTAAAGACGATTTGGGTGAATCGTATGAGATGGCGAGACGTTTGGATTCTACGGCAGATACAAGTCTCTATACGAGTCCATTTGATTTATGATCTTCTAATTTACAAAAAATAATTTCGATAATAATTTTTTACAAAAAAAAAACTAAAATCGTGTGATAAAAAACATGACCAATTGTCGACTCTGATTTTTCTTGGAAGCCGAGAAGATGGCAACAGTCGTACATGACGAGGTATTGGTAACCACTTTTGCCGAAGGAAAATAGGTAAAACTATCGATGCAAAAAAGAATGTATTTCTTCGATCCCCAAAAAGCGTCCAAAGGGCCAGCGATATCTACATTTATCTCTTCGTTGGCAAACTAGAAGTCCGGAAATTTACTCGAGTGCTGCAATCTCAACAAAACTTGCCGTGTGGTAGATCTCTATAGATATGCGGCCACCAAAAATATATGTAACCAGAAATTTCATGCCGAACTGGCCTGGGTGGGATTCGTGCAACATTGAGCTGAACGCCACTCGAATCGCTGCTGGCACCAAAAGTTTGTGGTCCAGGAATAGCAGCTCGTCCCTAGTATGTAGGTCCTTCTCGTAATTCGCCATATAGGACCCGGGAATTCTCACTGGGCGCCCGTTCTTTAGTGCCGTTATTAGGTCCCATAAAATTTTATCGTCCTTGGTCATGATTTGGTGAAGCTTCTTAGAACAATGATTTTCTAATAAAAGCGGTGATGATGGTAAAGATAAATTCGCTTTATACTGTTTTGATAAGGCCGAATGATCATTATATAGCGCCTCGTCTTTAAATTTTAGGGCAATATTATGTTCTTCCGGAACAATTAATAGGGGTTTTGTAATCGACGTACCCACGGTCTTCAATTTATGTGGAATAAAAATTTCATTAAGCATTATGAAATGCAACAGGGCCTTATCAGTAAATGAAAAGCTTGTAGTTAAATTTGGAATTATCTATAGGTAGGCAATTAGATGAACAGTTTTCTGATCTGACGTGGGAATTATTGCAAATTTTGAGCGACTGGGCAATACAAGAAATGATAGCGCAATAATTCTCAGTTTGAAAAAGCTATAGAGCTATCGGTAAAATTTCGACCAATCACATCGCTTGAATTATTCGTTCCCGAAGGGAAATTAGTATTTACAATTGTATTTACAGCGACCGACGGTCGATCTACAATTACTTTATTTACAGAAATAAAATTAGATGAATTCAATAAAGTATTTCGAATTTTGTCGATAGAAGCCATGACGAAAACTTCGTCGGAGTAGGAAGGGGGTGAGGCTTTGCCTGAGGGTAGTCTTGATAGAAGGTCAGTGAACCCCATATCTTTACCCTGAAGATGAGAAAGTTTGAAATTGAATGGTAAAGTATGTTTACCCATCGGGTTAGTCTGCTATGCATTGTTTTGTTACTGTTGATCGCCGACAGCGCGGAAAGAAGCCCCTTGTGGTCCATGACGATTTCAAAATCCGAACCATTTAAAAAGTTTCTAAAATGAGTTTAAAATGTTCAGATGCCCTGCCAACCTCTAAAAGTTCTAGTTCGTTGGTGGAGTATTTCATTTCATGGTTTTTCAAAAATCTCGAAGCGAACAAAATAGTTTTCCATTCTCTCCCTTGGAACTGTTGGATTGTGGCTCCTAAGCCGTTATTTGGGGCAATTGTTTTCAATTTTAATTTTTCTTTGATGTCGAAATGGCTATTCTCGGTAAAATTTACAATTTCAGATTTTAACTTTTCAATTGCAATCAAATGACTGTTGTTTCATTGGTACACTGACTTTTTGTTGCGTAATGGTCGTAATGGGAAACTTAGGAGTGAAAGGTTCTGGAAGAATTTAACGTATTGATTGATCGAACCAAAGAATGAAAGAAATTCAAAGATGTTTCTCGGGATTGCGAGGTTTTTTATTGCATCTGCTTTTCCGACCAAAGGTCTTACGTTTCTGAAATCTTAAATCCAAGCCATTCTATTTTCTCCATTTCACAGCCATATTGTTTTTGTCTATGATTTCCAGTATTCTTTGCTCAATAGCTTTATATTCTTCGACAGTTCCCTTAGAAGCTACTAGTATGTCATCTATATAACAATTTGTAAATGGGATTCCTTTTAAAAGTGAGTCCATGACTCTTTGAAACTGGTTGGGCCTATCGCCAAGTCCATGAAATCCTGTTTAAAATGTGTATGTCGCAGTAGTATCTCCTTCTTTAGATCGAGGTAGCTAAACCAGACCCGCCTATCGGTCTTTTCTGACAATTGTAAAGCTACATTATAGGTCAATTCGTGGATGTTGGGCATCTGGTATTTATTTTTAAGAATCTGGTCATTCAGTAGTTTTGAATATAAGGCGAGATTAATTGAACTGTTTTTCTTTCTAGTTATCAGAATTGGGCTTATGAAGCAATCTTCGTCACCTTTCTCAAATTTTTCGATATGGCCCTCTTTTTCCATTCTTTTAAATTCCTCATTTACTCCCGATAACAAATGAAGGGCCACTGTTCTGCCTTTTACTTGGACCGGTTTAAAAGGGGAATGGAAATGTGTAACTTTACGGTCGTTTGGTATTTTGCCGATTCTATTAAACAGGTTTTTAGAATTCGTAAAAAGTTCATTTGTCAGAAATTCTAGGTTTTGACTTACTCTTCCTCGGTGGGTCGCTGACTGTACATATCGGCACTGAGCACTTGTTCTGTTTAACATCTATTCCCAGTATTAGGAGGCTGTTGTATAAGGAGGCTGTTGGGATATTAGGAGGCTGTTGCAGGATATTTCTCTCGTGTCCAACCTAATAAAAAAAATGGTCTTCACATATAAATATCCGCCAGTTGGATTGAGTTCGGAACACGATTTTGTCCAAGATATTAATAGTATTTTCCGTGAAACCGCTGTATAACTGTTTATTTCGTTTATCCACAGTATGGATCTTCAAGTTCGTGTATCTTAATTTCAGCTCGTGTAACACGTTTTGCATTCAAATAGCTCACTGGGCTGGCCGAATCCACAAGTATGTTCATACTTACAATCGTTTCCGAGTCCGATATTTAGTTATTTCTTTGTTTCCAATCCATTTTGATCATAAATTGTCCTTGCACTCAATACTGGATAATCATCATCGTCACTCTGACCGTTTTCGTTTCAGGCGTTAATAACTCCACATGTTTCTTGTTTTTTGGTTTTCGCTCCAGAAATCTTCGGACGGGACGTATTTACAATTTTCAGTATTGACAGAGTCATTTACAATACTTACACTGGATATTTTCTTCGTTTTACATAATTTCGCGAAGTGACATTTGTAGTTACAGTTTTTACATATGATATCTCTGGCTGGACAGGCGTTGAAGTGTCCTTTTGTGAAATGGTTTCCGCATTTCATACATGTGTTGGTTTTTCGATGTTGAGACTTGGTTCCTTCTTTACTTGGTTATTTACATTAAATGATTTGAAGCTTCTCTCGTTGGTCGCTTTTGCCATAATCGTTAGCTTCTGATGATTGAAGTACCGTTTTTCGTCTATTAGTGCCTGACTTAAGGCTCCCGCGGGACTGATGGTCGCGGATAGTAATTTCCGTTGCGTCTCAGTATTTCTCATATTACAAATAAATACATCCCTAATCCACTTCGTCTGACTCTCTAATATTACTTGCTAGCGAGGTCCTTCAAGGCTCCCCAAACTGTTCGAAGGATTCCCTGCCTCTTTCTTCCCGATTTAAAAGTTTTTACCTTTCAAATGTAACGTTTGGAGGTTTATTAAAAGGTAGGTCCAAAAGGTCCCAAAATTCTTTTAAAGAGATGGAAAAAATTTCCACCCTAGGGTTTTTCTGAGAGCATTCCCTTGTCCCTTGATTGCCGAGGGCTAGAAATAGGATGGATGTCAACTTCTTATCGGCTTCTGCTCTTTTCAACCCTCTGATTTTTTGTTCTTTCGTCGTTTATTTTTCCTCTCTTCGGCGGCTCCGTAGGATTTCATCGCAGTCCTATTTCTGGCCTCCCGACTGGCTTTTTCCGTTTCCGGCTCACTTCCTGTGGGCTGTTCTAGGATAAGAATCTGGTTTTCTGGGACCTCTGGTCCACTCGAATTGTCAATGTCCATATTCTCCTACGCTATGATTGCCAACTGAAATTGGTCGATCCAGTGCCCCCAGGAATGTGATGGCTCCATTGTGTGGTTCGCCCAGAATGCAGGAATTCCCACAGGTTCGATTCGTTTGACTGCGCCATAATAAACTATTCTGAGGTTAACTTTGAATATGTACAATCTATGTACACTAACTAAGAATTAAAAGAATAAGAAAAATAATGTGGCAATTAAAAATGTCTGTTCTAAAAACTATCACGAACAGGTGAATGATCGACCGATTGTCGATTCGTAAAAAAGTTTACCGGTATCTAAACAATACCAAAAGTCAATAGATCAAACAAAATGAACAACTCACAACAACTCTTCAGTAAACTACTTTTTTTTATTGTTATTAAGGCTCTAATGAGTTTTTTTGGACTCCTGACTTCCTCCCGGCCAACTATTGGTTAAACAGCTAACTAATTGGTTAGCTTTGATTTAGTAATTTTGGTTCGGCCGTTAAGCACTTGTGCCTTTTCCTTCAACTTCCAAATGTTCATTTCATAATTTGTTAGGTACATTTTTTAATTTCTTTGGTTTTAAAAATTCAACACAGAACAATTATGCACAGGCAAATTTAATTCGGTGCTTAGCGCAAAACTTTCTACCAATCAAACATTAAAACTTGTCTTTATATCAGTGTTTTTCAAAACATCAGAACCGTCAATTTTAGAGTGCCTTAGAGTAAAACCAAACTCAATCGAAAAATACACAAGGTTAAGTTTAACCAGCCAATAGAAATTATCAACGTCGGATATCTACCAGCATACAAAAAGCCAATTATTTTGGTTCAAATGATCAGGAGCAGAAAAAAATATGTTTAATACAAAAGGTTGGTGTTTTGATGCTGCAGATTAGTGTGATAGAGAAATGAAATTTTTCAGAAAAAAGAAATGACGCTGTTTTTTTTTCAAAAAAAATATCATGCCTCAACAATGGCAGGTATTTTTGTATCGCAAGTATTTCGAATCTCCACTTCGACTGTTGGAAAAACTAGAGCAAATTGCACTATTTAATCCGCTGGTGATTGTAACAGTTTACACAGACAAAGCTAAGAGTTTTAAAATGCACGAAAATAGAGAACTAAGCAAATAAACCTGGAAAGCTAAAAAAAAAACTCGCCATCTACTGGATTCCAGCCGCAAAACTCCAGATTGAAACTCTCTATGTCAATGCCACTCAGCTACCAGCTCTTGGAGAATACACCAATCTTAGATTAGAAAAAAGTCGACTGGTATGATAGCCAGCTCGCAGGTGTAAATAGATCAAATTTAAGTTGCCAAAAAGCATGCTATTGGCGCAGATCACAACACTCGCTCTGCCCGCAAAATGATATTGCACTGAGAATTTGAAATTCAAAATCGTAACAAGGATTGCCGGTTGCTGTGTTAGTAGCACAAAATGTTCCGACCAATGAATTTAATGAAACTTCAAGTTAGATTGGAAAAAGTCGACAGTTATGATAACAAGCTATGCTTTCCAACTCGCTTGTGTAAATACAACAAATTAAAGTTACCCAAAGCATGCTATTTGCGCAGAGCACAAGATGCGCTCTGCCCGCTAAATGATACTGCAATGAGAATTTGAGGTTCGAAATCGTAACACGGACAGCCGGTTGCTGTGCAAATAGCACACAATAATCTGACCAATTGAACAGAAATTTAAAAATCTAATATTTTCTATGCAAGCTCTTCCGAATAACCAAATTTGGCAATAACACATTTAAAATTGAGAATATCTGTCAAAAAGTTAAGGTATGCGTCAAAATTGAGAATTTCTTGTACTTTAACATAAACTTATTAATGCAATCAAAAAACAGAAAAAAGTTTACCGAGTTCACTATAACTAGCGTATAACGCACCTCCGGTGCTTCTAATTGTTAAGAACTCATAAGAAACCGCATATATTGGAAATAAGATCTACATCCTTTGAGTGTATTCTGACAGCACCTAATTATAGAGTTGTAATAGTAAATTCAAATTCAGTTTAAAAAAATCAACCAAGTTTTTTCTAATTAAAAGTTGGAAAAACCATAAAATTCTGTTAAATTTTATATATCTAAGTTCTTAGAAAAATTTCAAAATTACATAAAAAAAGGTCACATCTCGGAAGCTAAAAGCCATTGAGCAGTCGCATTTGAACGCAATATTTGCAACTCCTGAGAGTACTCTCACAGTAGCCAACTACAGCTTGGAGTATTTAAAATTTTGAGAAAACTCAAATTAAAACTTTTTTTAAAAAGCATAAACAACGTCATATCTCAAAAACTACGCAGATTTGAGCAGCCATAAATGGAGACAGGATTCGCAACCCTTGATAGTACTCTGACAACCCCCAACTACAGCGTTCGGAATTTCAATTTTTTTAATATTATTAATTTGAGTTTTCTGTAAAATTTTTAAAAACTCACAAAAAACGTCATATCTGGAAAACTCCGAAGATTTCAGCAGTCATATTCGGATACAACCCTCGCAACCAATGAGAATACTCTCACAGCTCCCAAGTACATTGTTGAGAACTTCAAAATTTCAAGAAAAAAAATTAAATTTACATTTTCTGAAAATTTTTCGAAAAAATCACAAAAAACGTCATATTTCGAAAACTTCAAGAATTTGAGCAGTCAGATTTGGTATCAAAACTCGCAACTTCTGGGAGTACCTGAAAAAGCTTCACTATATAGATGGGAACTTCAAATATTGTGCAAATTTTTATATCTAATTTCTTTGAAAAATCCTTAAAAAAAACGTTCAACTCTGGAAAACAACAAGGATTTGAGCAATCATATTTAGAGGCAAGATTCGCAACTCCTGAGCGTACTCTTACAGTTTCCACTACAGGATTGAGGTCAACTAACTTTTTGAATTTATTTGAAATCTATTTTTTGAAAAAATCAGAAAAAACGTCATATCTCGAAAACTACCAAAAGTTGAGAAATGAGATTTGAAGGCAAGATTCGCAATCCCTGAAAGTACTATGACAGCCCCAACTACAGGGTTGAGAATTTCAAATTTTCAGAAATTTTTTAAAATTAACTTTTCTAGAAATTTTTGAAAAATCTCGAAAATTGCTTATCTCGTAATCTAAAAGGATTTGGTTATTCATATATGGAGACCAAAATCGCAACACCCGGGTAAAGCCTGACTTCATCTTACAATTGGGTTGCTAAATTCAAACTTGGTGAGATAAACACTGAATTCAAACAGGAAAATCGAAAAAAAATCTAATCATTGCAATATACGATAAAGCTTAAACGTGAAAAAAATCTTTTGTTAAAAATGAAAAAGTAATAAGTTGAAAAGGCTTAAGCATGGCGAGATAAAAGCCCGCATTTAAATATACAATAGATTCATTTTGCATAAAGTCAGCTAAGGCTTTTACAAACCCAAATTTTTGGTTAAACTTATCCAATATTCATCTTATTATTACTCACTTTAGCGACCCAAAATTACGCCATTTACCCTGAAATGCAGTTCATTCAAGTTGACGTTTGCTTTTTTGTAAGTCAAACGATGTCAAATCACAAGCTAATCAAATAAACAAAATTAGTAAACATGTGCTGTACATCAAATCAAACCTGTTGTTCCTTCAATATGTAGGACTTGCTTTTATCCATCTAACTTTTGCTACCTCAAAAAATTGTATTGGGGATATAAGTGGTCTCTTATTAAAGTCCTTTCAGGCAACGGAGTCCAAAAAAAAACAAAGAAATGTCTCATGACGAGAAATTTTGAATTTTCTGTTTGACAGACTAAATTACACGAAAATTAGAGAAAGACTGAACTGTGCTGCTCAACAATTCTGTTGCTTATTTTATTGATGAATAATTAATACTTCTCATCTTGCGGTTTTAACAACTGAAAAACAGCACGATTATCAGATAGAAGCTATTTCTATTATTTTTGAATTTCTGAACTTGAATCGTAGTGGGTCGAATTTTCGAGCGGGCTACTACCCCAGTAACCAGTTGCCATTGTTGATAAAAAAGGCGAATTTTTAAAAAGTTCACGGGTCGATTAGCTAAATGCGGGTCTGATTAAATAAAACCCTACGTGCGAAGAAATTGTTCAACTACGTGTGAAGAAATTATCTAAAAATCGGCCCATCTGTCAAGAGAATTGCCGCATGATAAAAAGGTCAAATTAACGTGGGGTGCAGTTAGAAATGATATGTGGGTTACTATCCTCTATAGAGCGTAAAATGAGTACAGAAAAACATGTAAATTAAATACAATGCTTTTTAAAATGAACATTTATTTATTGTATACGGATACCAGCATGAAAAAATTTGACTACTAATAAGATCTGATTTGAAGCGATTATCGTTTATTATTCTTTAAGTGATTTTACTACATAAATATTGCAGAAACTGCAGAAATTTGAGGGCATCATAATGCAAAATAAATTCATCCAAGCTGATTTTTACCACCAAGAGAAAAAAGGCTTCTTTTTGTGAAATGATTGACTAAATTGATCTCCCAGATGACGAATTCTAGCTTTAGCCTGACCGACTGTGCCGCCACTTCCTCCCACGGGAATTCGGTCGTCATGGAAACGGGAATGTTCTTCTATTCCGTGTGTATGGTTCGACGACGTTCGCTCCACTACGCTTAGTGGCATTTGGACTAACTGTAGGGGACTTCTGCCTTCTTTCAAACAGTAACTTAAGTTCAAAATCTGACCGCGCAAAACTGACATTTGACGCTCAAATAATCGCTTGTCAAATCCCGAGTCGATTCTAAACAGCGTATCTAATTCTTTGCAAATTTCTTCTACGAAGCTCATGTCGCTGATCAGAGGCAGTATTTGATCTCTCGTTTCCTGTGAGAATGGAATTTTACTGTAGGGCAACCATACCCAATGGTAAGGGTACATTCGCCAACTATCGGGATGTTTAAACGGGAAAGCTAATCCATGATCAATTGCTGCCACTTTAAGCTCTTCGCTCGCGTTTCGCTCAATTATTTTAGGGTCTAAGAACTGCCGTGAAATTGAAGGTTCTCGGCTAACTGGTCTATCGCCTTGCTGAAATTGCACCCGACCGCTATCTCCGCCAGGACCGAATGTCACAAGAACATCTGAGCTATTCGTATCTCGGTTGTCAAATCTTTCGGCTGTCGTCGGCAGTGCGTTAGAGGACGAATTCCGCGTCAGTTTCATCGAATTTCGAGGACTACTACGAGCCGAGCTATTACGACTCGATGTGTTCGGTCGTTCGTACTTTATAAGCCAGTTGTCGTTTCCCCGGTCTGTGTTGCGAATAATGTAATCTAATACAACTAGACGTTCGAATTGCAGTTGAAATGCTTTGCTACTTTGTTCTGAAATTCCTTCGGATGCGAACACACGTAAATAGTAATCAGACTGTTTATAACCCGTGACAAAGCGCTGGAAAGATCCGACTTTTGATGGCAAACCCAACCTGTGGAACTTTTTGCCAAGGGTCGGTGTTTTAGCCATTATATTTTTCTTCATATTGCTTTTAGCCCGTTCTAGCTTCGTATAATTAAATGATTCGCTAGCGAGCCAAACAACTTTTGTTGTAGGGACAATTCCTAACTGTAACTTCTTATCCACAACTGACGCTGCAGCCTCTGAAAGGTAACCCTGATTTGGAATTAGACAACCTCTCCCGAAGCAGCAAGGGCAACACATTTTATGGAGCCACTTCATCAGCTTTGGGTTCATGTTACCATAAGGTTCCTCGCTCTTTGGTTTGAATACACCGATAACTTGTTTTTCGGTGTTTCGCACGAAGTAACTCCCACTTGAGCCCTGCGTGATTAACTCCGGGAGAATACCCTGCTCTATGGCGTTCTGTGCATCTTGGATAGTCTCCATGAATCCAGGGTCATCAGGGAACCTGTTTAAGTTCTTATCTTCCACGACATCTCTCGGAATCAGATCCATGTCCATCAGAGGAGCGAACTCGTTATCTGACTGATAGTCACTGTATTCATGAGACGATGCTCGACGATGAGAAGAAAGAGGTACTACAAAGCTGACGAGATCCGGAGGCAAGGATGCTACCGGTCTTGTCACTTTTTCAGATGACGTAACATTTTCGGCATCTGCTGCATTTTCGAGCGATGCCCAAGAATTAGTTTTTTGGTCTAAAGGAACCGGTGTGAATGAGTTCTGATCAACAGACTTTCTCACATCTTTGGCAGAGTTTCCAGTTGTGGAACAGAGAGGATCAAAAGTCTCCGAAAAGTATCCACTACTGAATGCTGACTGAGTCTGATTTGGTTCGAGTTGAGATTGACTCTTTGGTGCACTTACTGTACCTGATGTTTTGTTTAGTGTCGAATCAAATTCGTTAAGCATTAATACACATGGATACCAGGTTACAATGAACCTCTTTACTAGCCGGCAAGTTGCCAAATAAACTGAACGACAATGACAAGGAGATGCAAATGCAAAGCAGGCTAATCTGAAATTTGAGACATGTAATCAAAGTTGAGGTAAATTCGGCTTTAAGGGTTTTCAGGTAAAACATGTAAATGCACCTTTATATGACAGACAATCGCCTTTTATTTCGTCTAGTCAAAACTGAAGGCACGAATATGGACCAGCATTTTATTTCCTCGGGGAAATTAACTAAGCGCAGTCGCATCCAATATGCATACATTAAATATAGACTGTCAGCGACGACAATGACATACGTAGTTGATTGCTTTTACGGGTTTGGATTTGTGAGCCCGAAAATTTTGCAAGTTCATGTATTGCCCCTTCCTGTTTAGGATTGACACTGATATTTAGCACATTTCAATTCTAAATAATGATCGAAGCCATATTTTATTTTTTGAAGCCATATTTTTTTGTGATAATTACGCAGTGACCGTAATTATCACAAAAATACGCAGTGACCGTAATTACGCAGTGACCGTAATATCTTCTCTTGTTTATCTAGCCTTCGAAATTCGAAAGATTTTGAAAAATTTCAATTGAAACGGAAGAAACCACATGGCGTAAAGAACTCTGGGGTGCTCAAACAGCAGCGCAAATTACAATTAAATATGGAATGTCAAACTGCAATATCTGAATTAAATTACTATATACAAAACCAAAATATACAATTCAACACCCAGTCCCTTACAAACATAATACGAAATATATTCATCACTTTGCTTCATATGACACTACTCTGAATTGCTTCATAGGACTGGTAGAAACCTCCTACAGCTTAAATTGCGAGTATATACAGCATAAAAACTCAACAATTATTTTACTTTTTCAACCTTAATCGAAAACGCCCAAAATAGCCTATAACTTTTTCAGAAACCGTTCAAGTAGACGCAAAAATTGCTTTGTCCAGTGTTCATTATCCTCATTAAAAGAGCAGTATCGATATTCTGATAAAGAAGTTATCCATGTTCTTTCATCGATATTCAAATATTTTCAAACAAAAAACTTGTATCCGAATGTCGGAATGTTGCGATAAAGGCGGTTGTCATGGCCATGCTATCAGTTGATTTTCAATAGACGCGTAGCTACCAATATTTTCAAGGTTTATTTGGAGGTAACTGAAGCGACATATCGCGCTAAGACTCTCTGGGCATTGACTGTGTAATTTTTTGTCAATTAGATGCTTTTTCAGTTTTTTTTGCTCCAATGACATTTATTTTCATATCAAGCTGATGAATGATATTCAGTTGTTGTCTTTTCAGGAGAATTTTTTTAATCAATTTTGGCCATTGCTGCAAATTGCATCGATCTCTTAAAATAAAGTTTTGTACCCGGTAGGATGTCAGTCTTATTATTCATTCAGGGCTGTTCGAAGATATAAATATGACCTTTGATAACTGCCTAATACAACGTAAATGGTACGAGGTATCGACCAGTCTTCACTTTACACTATTTGCTTTTCCAACCTGACAACGATAGATTGTCTGTTCTTAGTGTGAAAGCTCTCTCACTCAATTTGGAAAGCACACACATCCCCAAACAATACATACAAATATATGACACTTATTTGAAATTAAGAAATTTTATGCTTTACGACTAATAGTTTTAATCAAGCTTTAAATTCGTGAATCAGCACCGCAAATTAACTAAAACAAAGCAACACAATGAGATAACTATATCAATTAGATTCCGATTTTGTCTGCTTGCTGATCTTTATTTCCGACAGCATCTGGGTTGCCAAGGGGGTCAAGGTCAGCGAACAAGTTGAACCAAGCTGACATGTCCGCTTTTGCTTTGGCTGAAAAAAAACAGCCATTAACAACAGGAAAAGTGTTCATTAAAAAAAACGTTATAAATTTTTGTGAAACTTTAGAAAAAAAAATATATCACAATGAAAATCGTTAAAACTCGATCAAGTTTCATCATCAGATTTTAAAACGGACAGTCGGAAAAGAGTCAATGAACGCAAGTCCACAGAAAAAAATTATGACTTAGTTTTTGAATTTTAAAGAGAAAAATAGATGCCCTCCAAGTGTTGGATTTTACTTGGGCGAAGTAAAATTGGATATTTTAGACATAAACAAAAATTTTAGTCAAAATACCGATGCGCTTAGCTCGGATGGTTTGCATCCTTCTGATGGGGGTGTTGAAATTTTGGTGCAAAGTTTTAGAGATTCTTTTAGAGGTTCTGATATTAATGCAAACACATGTGAGATTACAACCCGCCCCAGAATGAAGCAAACCCAACAATCATCAAATTTAGATCCAAAAACGGCAGAAATGATACAATTTTTCCAAAACGGTGCAAAATTCTTTAGGAAATACTAGCTTCGCATTTTTTCTTGGTGCAAACTTTGGCGATTATTTAATTTATTTAATTTATTATGCTGAATATTAAATTCTGGTTGTTTTGTGCAATTTTTCTAATTTCCAAGGCTCAGATGGAAAATATAGAAAAAACCATTGTTTACTGGGGCTATCTAAGCTGCCATCAAAAGATATTATCATCGAAATGTGTGATAAATGAGCGGAGAGCTACCACACTGACTCATCTTTTCCTTTTGCGTTGTTACTGACCCAAAGTGGGGATGTTGAAAAAAACCCTGGTCCTATTGAAACCATTGAAACAGTCTACGACATCTGCTCAAAAAATTGTGCAAATCTTAAATTTGTTCATTTGAATTTTCAAAGTATTATTAGAAAACGGATGCCATTGAAAAAATTTCTTGATGATATGGGCGAAAATACAATTATAGGAATTTCCGAAACGTGGCTTAAAAAAGAAGATAGTGACAATTTATGGAATCTCCACCCTAGAACGCATGCGATGTTCAGATATGATAGTCAATCAGCGGTAAAAAAGAAAGGCGGTGGCGTTTTGTTATATATACCAGTCAAATTGGCTCCGAAATTGAGGCCTGATTTAAATTAATTTGATAAAGAAAAATATGAGTCAGTGTGGGTTGAGTGCAAATCTACATTTAACATTTCCAGTAAAGAAAAAATGTTAGTTAATTTGTGTTATAATCCAAGCAGATCAAACATTATTGATTTTTTGGAACAATTAACGCTTAACATAGATAATGCATTTTCAGTTTCTAATAAAATTACGCTTCTGGGTGATTATAACATGAATTATCTGGATAGCAAAGAAAAAGAAAATTCAGATTCTATAATTATTCCATATGGATTGAAGGTTTTTTGTCTAAACGATGAGACCAGAATTAGTTCCTCAACTAAAACTCATATCGACTACATTATCAGTGACTATGAAACAAACGGCATTGAATTTTGTTTTGATACACCTTACAAAACCGACCATTTTGCTTCATTTATTTTGACGGATATAAAATGCGGCAAAAGTTTACCGAGGATAATTTCGACTTTCAATAAGAAAAATTATCAGAAAAATGAATTTTGTAATACACTCTCCGCTCTTCCTTGGTATCTCTTATATCAATGTACAGACGCACAAAACATGTTCTCGACGATGATTTATTCAATTTCTAGTGCTCTTCAGCAACATGCTCCTATCGAAAAAAAATTTGTTCGTAATTTTAAACCAAAAAATGTGTTGAAAACGGAATGGTTCGATTCAGAATGTCAGCAATTGTTGATTAAGAAACAGAATCCACTCAGATCATATCGCAGTCAAAGCACAAGCGATAATTGGTCAAAGTACCAGTTTTTACGTAATCAAATGAGCCAATTGATTAGAAGTAAACAACTCGATCATTCAAAAAATTGTTTTTCACTTCTCAGCACTATCCAACAAACATGTAAATATATTAACCAAGTTAGAGGTACATGTTCTGGCAACAATCGAATTACAGCTCTACGAAATTCCTTCAGTGAAATGATAACTCAAGACAAAAAATTGCCAATCATTTAAATTATATTTTTTCAAACTTAGGCGAATTTTTCGGCGCTAAAAAGAATCCGAATTACAACAAATCTGCCTCTGAATCTGCACCTTTCCATTTTCAACACATTACAGTGAAGCAATGCTTTGATATAGTCCGAAAAATCAATGTTAGAAAACCTCTCGGACCTTGTACCGTACCTTCTTGGGCAATCATTGACGGTCAATCAGTTATAGTTCCACATTTAACTTTTGTCATAAATACTTGCTTAGATGAGAACATTTTCCCGATCGAACTGAAAAAAGCACACGTAACCCCTTTGTTTAAAAAAGATGACCCAATGGATGCAAAAAAATTGGCCAATATCAATAACTTGTGCTTTTTCTAAAATTTTTGAAAAAATTTTACATGCCCAAAGAACAGAACATCTTGACAAATTTCAAGCAATGACACCAATTCAATTCGGATTTCGCAAAAACATTTCAACACAAGATGCTCTTGTTTATGTGACAGAAAGTATTCGAAATCAAATAGATTCAAAAAAATCGTACATGCAGCTTTATTAGATCTGTCCAAGGCTTTTGATTCTATTTCGCATAAAGTTTTAATTGAAAAAATGCTTTCTCTCGGTTTTTCAAATGGAGCAAATGCTTTAATTGCTAGCTTCCTAAACAAACGTATTCAAAGAGTAAACGTCAATGGAATCTTTTCAGACTGGATTGAAATCAAACGAGGTGTCCCACAAGGAACGGTACTTGGTCCGTTGTTGTTCATTTTATATGTTAATGACATACAAGAGCGATTATATGAAGGTTGTACTTTAGTTCAATATGCTGACGACTGTATGGTTTTTTCCTCTTCAATAATTTCTGAGGATGCTTTGAATCGACTGCAAAAATCACTCAATAATCTAACGGAATTTTTTGCAGAGAACCAATTGAATCTGAATGCATCTAAATCGAATTTTATAACATTTTGTCAAAAAAATGATAGCAAAAAGGTAGATACTGATACAATAGTAATTAATGGGCATTATGTAGCCAAAAAATCAGAATGCAAATATTTAGGCCTGATTCTTGATTCAAGTTTATCTTTTCATGCTCAAATCAAAACAATTCTCCAAAAAATGGCACAAGGAATTAAAACTATAGATACAATTGGACAACAACTACCGACATTATCATTAGTTGCTTTGCTTCATTGTCTTGTTTTCTCACATTAAGATTATTCAGCAATATTTTTAAAACAAATTAATGCTACTTTGATGCTATCTCTAGAGAAACAGTTGAACTGGGCATTAAAAAGAACATATTTCAGATCGAAATTTAAATCTTCTTCCCTTCTTCGCATTAGCAAATCGTTCATTGGAATCGAGAAAAGAATTGAGTTAAAGTGTATAACATACTTATACCAATATCTTACAAACAAAAAGAAGGGTTTTCAAAATACATTGAGACTACCGACTGCCAATTATAGGCTCAACAAAAGAACGAAACAAATTATTTTTGACAAACATTGTTCAACCGCTTCTCTACAAAAATCATTTTTTCATTTGACTTCTAAAAAATGGAATTCACTGCCCATAATTTTGCGCAATTTAGAAAAATCGAGAACAGGATTCAAGAAAAAATTGAAAGAGTTTTACGTGAGTGAATTGAGAAACAATCCAATATGTACAAATAAAATCCAATTAAAATATAATTACCGAATACACAACAAACAAACACCGAATACAAAACAAACAACAAAATATCGCCGGGTTTGGACCGTTCTCCAGGGATGACAAATACGTGGCGTGATTTCCGTTTTTGCTAGTTCTATATGTTTTAATTTAGTTTAATTTTCCAGACATTGTTTGAAAGAGAATCTGTATATACTCTGTATATACGCTGTATGTTTGGACTATCTTTAAAATTGTTTGTTAAGTTAAAATACCAGCTCGTTCTTAATTCTTAAAACTGATGTTTTTTTAGTATCCGTAACTTCATATATTTTAATCAACCAATTTCTGAACTGTAACCGAACTTGTTTTGTTTTGTTTATTGCTTGTTTTCTGATGTTGTGTTTTTGTTTGATGTAACCAATGAATTTTAACCAACTTTATTATTTACACTTTGCTATACTGATGCCTCGGCTTTTTACTGTATAGTAATTCAGGTGTTCTTTCTTCTTCTTCTTCTTCAAGTTCTTTGAAAGTCTAACCCTTTCACCAAATTTTTTGATTTAAATTAACCCAATTTGAGAAAACTGGATAAGCGGTTAAAACTTTCATTCCGCTAGGAAATCTGAAAATGGAATTGCACTTTCAAAACAAAGTCAAATCACGTTTTTTGTAACCTTTCCACTTTTGCTGTTCGATAGATGAGTTTGCCTTCCTTTCACAAAGAGGCGAAGCTGCTCTTCGCAAACACTAGCGAGCTCACGACAAAAAAGCAGCTCTATAAAGTGAAATAAGAAAAAGAGAAATAAGCCTCGAATTATCAAAAATTCGGTTGCGTGTCGGATTCGAACTTGCGATGTAAAGATTTCGAGTCACACGCACTAACCACTCAGCCAGACGCTAGAAAAATTCCAATGCTACAGATCGTGATTATAGCATAATTTTTGTTTGCGATTGAGGTTAGAAAAAGAAAGAAGGTTCGTACTAATACACTACGCTCGCTAAAGTTCGCAAGTGTTAACAAAGGAAATGAGCTGAACTTTGAAAAAACCATATGTCCAAGCGCGAAAAGTGATTTTGACCCTGAACAAACTTTAAGACTTTTCCTGAAAAAAATGGCCACTAATATTCCGATATTTAAATTCTAGCCACTGATACAGCGGATATCTAACTCTTCTAAGAACAGTTTAAACTTTTGTTACAGTAAAATGATTGCCAACAACTTTAGCATAACACGAGTACAAACAATTCCTTCATTTAAAGTTTCCACTAGCTCAAGATTAAATTGAAATTGACAGTGGAGCAGCGAAGCTCTGCACTTGTGATACATCACAAAAAAAGCACAAAATCCACATCAAAATTTTCATATCACAATTTTGCTCGCATTAAATTAGTTTTGAAGAAACCGAATCCTGCAAGAAAATTGCCAGTTTTAATTTAGCAGAGTAACTCTATAAACTAGTGATTAAACCGACAATACTAAGGTAGACGCTCGTTGAACCGAAAATTAGAGCTATATGAAAATTTACATCAAAAATTATTTTACACCGAAAATCTATTGACAGGAAAAGGCATTTTTGCCAGTCATGCGACATAATATGAAGCGACACAGCCGCAATAAAAAATCAAAAAAAGAATCAGTTGAAAGACAGTTGAAAAAAGAGTCAATAAACGAAGAGACAAAAAATAACTCGTTTTGAATAAATGTCAAATTTCGAATTTCCAGGAAAAAATGACCATAAAGCTCTTCGATTTTTAAGAACAATTTATAATTGGCACAGCTTTGATAATAAAATTAACCCAATTTGAAAAAAAAACTGTATTATCAGCTGGTAAATCAAAAAACTAATTCTGGGTGAAAATAAATAAATCCTAGGTTTGAGGGTTCAAGGAATAGAACGAAACTTAAAATGCAATATAAAACATAGCTAACTGACAGTTGGAAAAGGGTAATGAACGCAAGGAAACAGAAAAAAAAATGGTGGCCTTAAAGCTGTTTGAATTTGTAGAATAATTTATGCTGTACACTTTTTTCTTAAAATTAAATCAATTTGAGGAAACTGGATCAATAGGTTAAACTTTTGTTTTGCTGGGAATTCTCATAACTAATTTTTAATTTCGAAATTAGAAGTCGATCATATTTTTCGTGTCCTTTACACTTTTGCTGTTCGATTGAGGAGTTTGCCTTCCTTACAACAACGGAAAGGCACTGAACTCAAAAACAAAATCACAAGTCAAACCGCGAAAAATCAAAATTGAGCATGAACAAATTTTAAGACTTTTACCTGAAAAAAAAACAGGAAAAAATCACCAAGACCTATATACGAGTACTTACTACGTTCATTTCTCTCAACAAGTCGGTTCTGCTGTGAGTCCTGTGCGATACGTACTGTGCACAACGTTTCTTAACACAAAAAAGAGCCTTGCGCTCTTGCCAGTCTAGAGAATCGAATTGTTTACGCTCACGAAAAGTTTGATTCGTCTAATTTGTTTTGTACCAAACCTAAAAACGTTTGATCTACTTACATTTATCTTGTTTTTGCTTGGATTGACGTGCTGATTGGTTCATTGATGACAAGCCTGTTGATCCCTGTGACATCCCAGGAACGCCTCCTCCAATTCCACCGTCTGAAGATCCAGGTATGAATGAACTACCTCCCAAGATACTACCTTGGGATACTGGTTGTTGGAATGGGTTAGAATTGCCACTCTGGGTCGTCTGGGCATTGAATGGTGGGGCGGCTGCTAGCATCGACTCGAAATTGTCTAGGTTGGATAAGTCCATTAATTGCGAAGGGAGGAAGGAGCTGCTATTGCTGCTTCCCTGTGTTCCTGATTCGGCTCCTGGCTGGGTTTGACCCGAGGAGACGTCAGAGAAGAGACCGAAGTGTTCTGAGGCTGAGAACATGCTAGACTGCATCGGGGGCTCCTTTCGACTGCTACTCTGTGCGCCTTGCTGTGCCCACATTTTAGTCCAGTCACTGAAATATCGAGCAAACTTAGCACACATTTTTCACGACCGCAATTTGCAATATTTGATAAAAGGAATCATGGAAATAAAACATCTATCTTCCAAAAAAGAGAAACAACAAGAAGTCATATTTCAACTTTGTACCTATTGACATTATCGTTCGATTCACTTGGATTCATGAGATCGTTGAAGAAATCGGAGTTCTCCACGTCGTCAAAGAAGTTTTCATCTGAAACAAAGCGAGGCTCAGGAAAAGATGTTAAGTGTTATTTTCATAAGCAGTTTCGCAATCAACGAGCAAAACCTGTCATTAGAAACAGCGATGTATCGTAACGTTTCGATAAGAAAGCGAAGAAATACGAGGTGACTAAGCATCTATAAGAAAAATCAAAATATGTCACGACCAGTTATCATTTAAGCGAAAAAAAACAGGAATTCTAAAACATAGCCAACAGACACTTGGAAAAGATTTAATGAACGCAATTGAACAGAAAAAAAAGTTTTGAATTTCAAAGAAAAAAACAGAAGCCCTTGAAGCTCTTTGAATTTCTAGAACAATTTATGATCGGCACTTTTTCGATAAAACTAACCCAATTTGAGACTGGATCAATGGGTAAATTTCTTATTTCAGTGGGAATTCCGAAAATTAAATTCCACTTTCGAAATTAGAAGTGCAAAAAGTTTTTCGTGACATTTACACTTTCGCTGTTAGGTAGTGGAGTTTCCTTACCTTTTAACAAAGGAAATGAACTGAATTTAAAAAGAAATCAAAAGTCAAACCGCGAAAAAGCCTGAACCAAGAGTTTCCTGAAAGAAAAAAAACGAATCAAAAATCATCGCGTCCTATATAAGAGTCCGAACTGCGCTCATCGGCTTTTGAAAAAAAGCTCAACCAACGTAACAAAAAAAAACAAATTTGGAGAGAAAGGATAATTTAAATGCAAATATGATCAAAATATGTCTTTTAACTGAATTCTTTGACCGAGTTGACGATTGATTCAGCTATTCTGTTAGATTACGTTCATCAAGAAAAACCTGCTTCTATGTGATAACGCTTGCTTAACGCAAGTGCAAGCATCCAGAAACAGAATTACCCTTGCTAAAATTCCCTTGCTAAAATTTTTTCTGTAGCACACAGCATTTCGGTAAAACAGCTATCCGTTCAAAAAACCTAGGGGCATGAAAAAATGACTCAAGAAAAAACTCATTTGATGTCGTGGCCAAAATAAATATATGGCAACATCTTTTCTACCTCTACTCGGAGTGGGAGAATTTATTCCCATGTGAGAAGCAAACCGCTGACTGGGATCAAAGTTTTGCATTGGGACTGGTTGATGTTTGTGGCCGAAGTCAGATAAGAGGTCAACGTCCTCTTCCGCCTGCTGCATGAGAAGAGCCCCTCCTCCAGAGGAATTCTGATCGGCTGAATGATTATGAGCATGCATTTGAGAAGATGACGGCAGAGTATGGTTTCCTACGATCAATGTTACAAACTACGCACAAGCATGCAGATATATCATTTTTCAATTAAACCAGTTTTCTTCAATTCTTTTTCAGAACTTTCGCAAATTATCCATGATGGCTGGATTAACTGAACGTTTTGAATGAGATCATAGTTAGTTTTTTTAATGAGATCAAAGTTAGATTTTAGTTTCCTAAAAAAAGATCAAATTTCAGATATTTTTGTTTGGGTTCGCTCTAACTCATTTTGACTCAAATCATGGCAATACCAACAAGACGGATGTAATAAAAAATTGAACAATCAGGGAATCATGCAGAATTTAAGCAAGGCACGCCACTCAATACAACTGAACATCACTTATGGTTTAATTTACCTGCCGCTGTGTCACTGTGGAAATACTTTTCACCACTGTCCTGTCCAGAAGGATGGTCATCCCATGATATCAACCTAAACAAATCGAAGTTAAAAACGTACACAAAATGCCAATAGAAAAATTAACACAGAGGCAAACTTGCACTTCGCATAAACAAGCTAAATATGACCGATAACGCTACTGGGAAAACTGAATGAGTAAAACTTTGAGTATACAAAACTCTTAAGTGACGCACGCCAATTATGAGTCTACATAATTGCTAAGTGACGCAAGCCAATTATGACGCATTATCAGTACCAGTCAATTTAAAAAAAAGAAACTTACCAACTAACATGCCTCAATTTTCGAGTCGACGCATTTTAACCAGTACACCAAAAAGTTCATTAAAAACATCTGACCCTGCCCAAGTTCGAACCGTCTTATTTTGTTGCGGGTCTCCCTCCCTAACTCTACG